GGGGTCCGGGAAGGGTCTGTGAGGGGTCTGGGGACAAGGGCAGGGAGGGAGAGGACAAGGGGGGATGGATGAAAAGTGGCAGAGGGAGATTGAGGTGAGACATGAGGAGGGAATTGTGGAGTGTGAGGGTGGTGAGAGCCTGGCCCAGGTTGCCCAGGGAAGCTGTGGCTGCCCCATCCCTGGCAGTGTTGAAGGGCAGGTTGGATGGGGCTTGGAGCAGCCTGGGCTGGTGGGAGGTGTCCCTGCCCGTGCAGGGGGTGGGACCTACATGCTCTTCAAGGTCCTTTCCAACCCAAACCATCCCATGACTCTATATCCTGATGGCCTCCCCAGCTCAGCTCTCCACCCTTTCAGGGGAAGGACCATCCCAAAGGGGTGATATGCCAAGAGGATGCAGAGGATGATGTGCAGACAGACAGCACCTGCACACACCTCAACAGCTCCACCTGAGCAGCAGCTACAGCTCCTGACACCGAGGAGACCAGACTGCAGAGCAGGAACCTGCTGCTCTGGATCTGCAGATCTAACAAACTCAGTTATTTTTATTTTCCCTGCTCATTCTTGTTGATACCCAAGAGGAATGTGAGGAGCAGGAAACCCACTTCAGACCCTTAGCACTGAAGGAAAAATTAACATTACAAATAGAGACCCCACTGGCAGTTGAGTCCCTGGGCAGACCCAGGGGCTGAGTGTGAAGGAGCCATGATTTTTAAATAGCCACTGACTAATTATAATTGCACTTGAATAACCAGTCCCAAAATACAAGAGAGGCTCAGAAGTGAAGTCTGATCACTGCCCCAACAACCCATCACTCCTTCCCAGCCACCACCACACGTGGTGCAGGGAGAGGACCCCTCTCCAGGACACCAGTTCCTGGAGGTGTCTGGTTGTGCAGGACAGGACAGCACTGAGCTCAGCCCTGGGGTGAGGCAGGAACTGGGCAACCAGGTCAGGGTGGGAAACACAAGAGCAAAGCCACGAGCAAATCAGCCCCTCCAGATTGAATCAGCAAGAGATGAACCCAAATGGTAAAACAAAACCCAAAGCAAACCAGCCCAGATGAAAAGGACTGAGATGAAAGGATGAGAAGGACTTACAGACATGTAGGAGCGAGTTCCCACAAAAGAGTTTGCCATGGAGTCAATGAGTTGCCCACTGACCCCAAAGTCACACAGCTTGATCTCCCCTCGGGAGTTCACCAGGATGTTGGAGGGTTTCACGTCTGGCAGGAGCAGGAAAGAAGAGCACAAAGGTGATTCCAGGGAAAACATGGGGCTCCTGCAGCACAGGCAGCTGTTTTTAGGTTCCTCCTCTCACCTCTGTGCATGATTTGGTGCTTCTCTCTCAGGTAGGCCAAGCCTCTCAGAACCTGGAAGGAAAGCAAAGGAGAGCAGAGCTGGGGAGGGAAGGGCTTTCCCCCCTCAGCAGGACACCTTGCATGACCCAGGAAAGCCACCCTGGAATACCCACGTGCTTCAGGGGTTGTAATTAACCACAAGACAATCCTAAATCTTGGGTTAAGTTTCTCCCAAACCTTCTCCAGGACGAGCCAACACCAAGCAGTGCAACACAAGGGGTTGGAGCTACGGACAGGGCTTGGTTTCCCCCTCCCCTCTCACACACATCATTGCTTCTTCCCTAGGTCAGGACAGGAAAGTGGTTTTGGGGGAAAGGAAGGAAGGTTCCTAAGGCAACACAAAGATTATTCCCAGACTGTGCCCAGCAAATCCCTTCTGGAAGCCTGAAGAGCCACCACAACTCACCGCTATACTGACTTTCCCCAAGATCTCCTCAGGAATTCTTTTGGCTTCTTTCAACACTTGATCCAAAGAGCCACCATCCTAAAAGAAAGAAGGGGAGGTGACCAAGCCCTGGCAGGAGGACAGAGGAGCTGGATGGAGAGGGAAGCACAAGCAGGGAGGGCACAGGGTGTGTGAGCAGGACAGGACACCCAGCTCAGCTCTGAGCACCCTCTGAAGGGATCAGAGCTCAAGCTTCTCACTGAAAACTGTTTTCAGACCATCTGCTCTCAGCCCTGCTTCTTGCTTTAGGTCTTGGCTTCCTTTCCAGCAGTGGGAAAGGCAAAGGTGATGCTGTCAGTGCTGACCCAGAGGAGAGACAACACTCTCCTCCACCAGAGACAACAGCAAATGCTCACTGGGCTTCAGGGCAAGCTCTGCAGGGGGGTGGGTTTACAACATTTCCTCTTGGCCAAGCCCCAAACCTCTGCTTCTGCTTTCCAAAAAGTTGGGCTCTGTCTTTTCTGGGGAAAAAAAGACCTGGGAGTCTTGGTGGAAAACAGGCTGAGCAGGAGCCAACGTGTCCTCACAGCCTCCTGGGGACATTGAGGAGAGTGTGGGCAGCAGGTCAGGGAGGTTCTCCTGCCCCTCTGCTCTGCCCTGTGGGCAGGTCTGGGCTGCCCAGTTCAGGGAGGACAAGGAGCTACTGGAGAGAGCCCAGCACAGGGCACTGAGATGCTGAGGGGCTGGAGCTTCTGCCTGTGAGGAAAGGCTGGGAGAGCTGGGGCTGCTCAGCTGGAGAAAAGGAGGCTGAGGGGGGGGCTGATCAGTGCTGGGGAATATCTCCAGGGGGTGGCAGGAGGATGGGGCCAGACTCTGCTCAGGGGTGCCCAGGGACAGGACAAGGGGCAATGGGCACAAACTGGAGCACAGGAGGGTCAAGTGAAACATGAGGAAACACTTCTTGACTGTGAGGGTGGCAGAGCCCTGGGACAGGCTGCCCAGGGAGGCTGTGGAGTCTCCAACCCTGGAGACATTCCAACCTGGATGTGTTCCTGTGGGATCTGCTCTAGGGGATCCTGCTCTGGCAGGGGTTGGACTGGGTGATCTCCAGAGGTCCCTTCCAACCCCACCACTCTGGGATCCTGTCACTTTGATGCCCACACAGGAGCAGCAGCTCCTACCAGCAGCACAGTGGCTGGTGCTGCAGCCCAAGCAAGGAACCACCTGCCAGCACCTTCACCTGTGTCACCTGCACTTCAAGTCCTGGGGAGACGCAACTGAGAAGAGTGCAGGGAGCAGGGGAGGAACAGGGACTCACCATGTGCTCCATGCAGATGGAGATCTCTCCATCACTGTAGAAAGCTCCATAGAATCCCACAATATATGGGGAATTACACTCATGCAGCACCTGCAGCTCTCGGATGATCTGGTTCCTGATGGCTGGTTTGATTTCCAAATGAATCAGCTGCCAAGAAAGAGGCAAAAAAACCACCTGAACACCTGGAAAAAACTTCCAGAAACCACGTGAGCAAGTTCTGAGTGTGGAAAAAAGAGTCTTCAAGGGAAGCTCTGCTTTGGTGTGGAGTTTTTTTTACCATTTGCAGACTAAATGTTAAGGATAAATAAAGGGAGAGGCAGAGCCCTGGGCAGGTTGGTGGTGACTGAGGGAAGTGGTGGCCCTGGAGCAGGTGGAGATCAGGAGGATAGAGAGTGGAAAGACAAGTCAAGGAGTTGGATGAAGGGCTGACTCAGCAGATGGGAACATTTTCCCAAGTTCTGTAGGTGGTGTGGGCAGAGGTGCTGGGGTATCAAGGGGGAAAAAGAAAAGGTGAAGATGATGCAGGTGAAAGAGCAGTTGGTTTATTGCTCAGGGCCCAGGAAGAGGCAGGGAACACAGATGTGGGCAGGGCAGCCAGAGGTGGGAAATGCAGCAGCAGGACAGAAAGAAGAGCCAGTGTTACTGTGAGTTTTGAGGCTGGGAACGAGCTGGGCTGGTGGGAGGTGTCCCTGCCCAGGCAGGGGGTGGGACTGGATGATCCTGAAGGTCCCTTCTCACCCAAACCAGTCTGGGATTCCAGGACACCCAAGCCCAGGGTCCTTCCTGCTGCCCTGCCAAGGCTGGTCCCTGCAGGGGGGACAGCCCTGCTGCAGGGGCCCTTTGCTTCACTTGCTGAACCCTGAGCTCCCAACCACCACCAGGCCACCCAGTGACACCCCCTGCTCCCCAATCCAACCCCCTGGGAGAGCTCAGCTCTGAGTGAAACCACCTGGAGCAGCAGATTTGCTCCCCAGACCCACTGAACCATCCCAAGAGCAGGTGAGACCAGAGACTGCCCCGAGAGCTGCTTCTCCAACAGGCAGAGGAAGCACCTCCTGGTTCTCCTCCCCAGGGCACCACAGCAGGAGGCACCTCCCACACCTGAGAGGAGCCCTCCTGGCTGCTGGGAACTACCTGGGGACCTGTTCAATGGGTGGGGAGGAACATGTGTGTGTGTGTGTGTGCCAAGCCCACCCCTCCACCTGCCATTCCCAGGCCTCCTCAGCCACAGGAGGTCTCAGCTCATCTGCTTCCCACTGCAGTTCATCAACACCAGCTTCAGTGGACAAAGAACCCCCCTGTGTTTTCACTCCAGGTGCACAAGCAGCTGCCCCAGAGACCAGGGGAGAGGACCCTGAGATGGGCAGGAGCAGCTCAGAGATGAAGCACCACAAGTCCCACCTAAATCCAGGCAGCCAGGACCTTGCTCTCAGCCCTGGCGAGGTGGGAGTCACCACAGAGACCCCCCGCCCCAACCCACCTAGAGCCAGGGGGAGTGCAGGACCCCCAACCCCACAGCCCCCTCTTCCTGCTCCCAGACTCACGGAACTGGAAGGGACCTCTAAAGACCATCAAGTCCAAGTCCCCTGCAAGAGCAGGAGCCCCCGTTACCTTCCGGGCCATGATGAGCCCCGAGGGTTTGTGCTGCACTTTGGTGACCACGCCACCATTGCCAGCCCCCAGCTCAGAGATCCTCTCAAAATCATCATCCTTCAGCTCCCCAACTTTGGCTTTCTGGGTCAGAAAAGCTTCCAGGCGTTTCTTCTGTTGCTCATCCAGCTCCAGCTCCTCCAGCTTCTTCTGAAGGTCCACCAGGTTTGCCCTGGAGAGAGGAGGAGGAGGAGGAAGGAGGTTGTGAGGGCAGCACCAGAGGGTTGTGGGGTGGTTGTTTTTTTTAGGGAAGCAGAGGGGAAATGACTGAAAAGTGTCATCTGACACGTGCTGAGCCCCTGGTGCAGCAGCCAAACCAGAGGGGAGCTCTGCAGGGAGGTGCTGGTGCTGCCAGGGGGGCACAGCCAGGGACACCCA